CTAAGAGGTTTTTTTCATGATGTTGGGCTGGTAACTTCTGTATTGTTGCCATTACAAAAAGCAATTCTCAATTTGGAAGGAACAAATGTTAACCTTGCAGATTGTTTCATCCAACTTGTAAAACTTGCAGTAAATATCAACAAATTTCACCTGAACATGGATTAATTGAATTTAGGAACCATTGTATTAAAGTCATCAATAATAGATGGGAATCTTTTGAAATACATCCATATTTGCTTGTGTATTTTCTTCACCCATTATACCGTGGTAAGCATTTAACTTTTTTTTTTATTATAAAAGAATTTAATATATATATAAATTATTGACATCTTATTTTTGTTTAGGAGTTGGTTTAAAATCAACTATTTGGCCAAATTTAACTAAATATGCAGGAGAAATCTTTTGGAATATGAATAAAAAAAATCACTCTAATAATAAAGTAGCAGAATTAATAGGTCAAATGGCAAACTTTAAATGTTCAGGTGTTTTTTCTATCCAATATTCTTCTTCTTACACAAGACCAAGAACTTGGTGGCAAGTTATTGATGATTCAAATGAATATGTAAAGAGTTTAGCAATTAAAATTTTCTCAATCACTCCTCATAATGCTGCTTGTGAGAGAGCATTTTCTGCACTAGGATTCTTGTATGGAAAAAGATGGCAATGTCTTAGTTTGTCTACGATTGAAGATATGGCAAAAATTAGATATTATTTATATTCAAATATTAAAAATGAGTTGAATTATGAATCTAAAGAAAGATCTGAAGAAGAACTAAGATCTCTAGTCCAAGGAAGTGGATTTTTTGATGATAATGATGAAGACTATGATGAAGGTGATAGTGAAGATGATAGTGAAGGTGAAGAAGGATTAGAAATACCAAATGAAGATGTTTATGTTTTAATTATTAATGAGATGGTTGATTTAAATAATCCAATATTTAATGAGGATTATGATGATTTAAATGATAATATTGAGGTAGAAGATGAGAGTATGGAAGAAAGTTCTGAAGAAGTATTTGATTTTGATGCAATTCCTGAAATTTCACCTCCATCAAATATGTAAAAATTATTATTTTTTAAAAAAATTTTATTAATAATGATAATAGTAGTATTTTGGTTGATTTTTTTTATTAAGAAAAAATAAAAAAATAAAGATTTATTTGTTTTGTTTGGAATTTTTTGGAGTTTCGAAAATAGTTTAGGAGTTTCAAAAACAGTTTAGGAGTTTCGAAACAGTTTAGGAGTTTTGAAAACAGTTTAGGAGTTTTGAAAACAGTTTAGGAGTTTCAAACAGTTTAGGAATTCAGGCCCATTTTCTAAACTGGTTTAGAAGGGTTTAGATTTCGAATAGTTCTAAACTCATGAGTTTTGGAAGGCAACTCTAATCATAATTAACAGTTTTATAATGTCTCATTTGTTAAGTGATATATAGAACTGCTCCTATATAAAAATAGTTAATATGAAGCTAATTTACATTAGGTCTACCATGGAACCAAAGAATTACAGCACCATTAGAAGTATTTTGAAAAAGGAGCAAGGTGAAAAAATTGCTCATTACATTTTCAAAATAAATGATACTCAAACACTTGAAGCTTATCTAAAAAAAGAAAGTATTACCTATGAAATTTATCAAGAGGAAAGAGTTTTCAAAAGAGTATTAGAGAATTCTAGTAAAGAATCAAGGAAAAAAAAAAAAAACTGGCAGAATAACTAAAACAAATAATTACTTTTTTTTCAACTTTGTTATTTTTTAATTTTCAATCAAGATCATCTTTTAGTCTCTTTAATTTCAATTTGTGCAGTTAGTTGAGTCTGCAGTCTCTTTAACTGTTCAACTTCACTTTCAAGTCTTTGAATTTTATCTAATAATTCTTGCTTTTGCTTATTATGCCAATCCTTTGAAACTTCTAAGGCTTCCAAATGAGAACTGATTTCTTCCTTAGCATTGGATAGTTGCTGTTTTAAGTCTTTATTCTGCTGTTCCAATCTGCCAACATAACTCTGTGCCATTATTTCTGTTATAGTTGGGGTTTTGACTGGTTCATCTTTCCTTAAATCACAAAAACAAAAAAAATCTATCCTGTTTCTCATAATTCTACCACAATCATTACAATGCAGCAAAATATTATCATCAAGAGATTTTTACACTCTACACAAATATAAGCAATGTCATTGTAGTCATTATTGCTTCCATTGTAAGATATTATTTTGTAAGTAGCAGTCAAACTTTTTTCTCTATCAAAAGGGCAAAAATTACAATGCCATTTATCTCCTCTCCTTAACTCATTAGCTTGATATTCTAATTTCATACTATTTGCTCTTTTGTAAGATATAAGTGTTGAATTTTTCCCTAGTTATTTCTTTTGCTTGCTTAACTCTGTTCTTTACTTTGTTAGTTAAGAGTTTAAATTTGTTTTCTTTTCTTGGTAAAGTTGGCAGTTCTTGAAATTGTTTGTTTGCTAAATAATTCTGCCATGAAACAACATTTTCTAACAGCTCTATTTGTTTCAAAGCTTTTTCTAAGTTATCATCTTTTTCTTTGCTTTGTCTTATTCTCCATTGTTTAGCCACCTCAAGAGCCTTTAAATGACATTCAGATGTTTCCTCTTCTAGTTCTAATGCTTCTTCCAAGATTAGATGCTTCAAAAAGAAAATGTTGATATTTCTGTATACTTGGTAATTTCTTAAAATAAATTGCTTTAATATCTAAGTATTGAAAGCCTTTTCCACTTTCATAACATTGAGCTTTATTTAATCCTGCTAGGCTAGACTTTTTTATTACCTCAATCACATGATCCAGACAATCTACTCTTGTTTTCTATAGAGCTTTTTAATCATGCCAAAACTACCATCACATTTGAATTTGGTATGTCCAGGAACCATGAAATTTAATTCAATGCTTTCATAATAACCACAAATTACCAAATATAGATAAAATCAAATAGTGGTGTTATTTTTATTTTGCCTGCCAGCATTATCACAAGTAATCTTTAAATGCTTTTCACCTTTGTTAAGTTTTTTGATTCCATCAAAAATCATACTAAGAGTGCCATTAGGACCTTTTCTATAATTTCATTTTCATTAAGAGCATAATTAATTTGCTCACTTACTGCTTCATCTTGAATACCAAATAAATGAACTTTACATGGACTAAGGTAATAAATTTTACTCACTTGTTGATCTAAATGTGGCACATGAACATTTTGGGCTCAATCATAACTATAATGAGCAGTGGCATCAATACTGCAATATTGTGTTTTATCCTTTGAATATTTTTGGTTAACCAGTTTTCTTTGTTCTTCTGCTAATTTGGTGTTTTTATTGTAATAATTTCTTTCTAATTTGGCCTTTGATAGGTGCTCTTTAACCTTTTGAGCAAATCTTTAGCTTCATCCTCTTGGTGGACATTATAATGTAAACCATCTCTAAAATGCTGACAAGTATCACACAAATCAGTCCTTGGACTCATAATTTGAATCTCTGGTGTCAATTGATGTCACAACTTCCTAAAAGCATCATACTTCAAGGAATTCAATTTGCTATCTTCCTCTAAACCAGCTAGAAAATCTCTGTGGACTGATTTATAACTCCTTTCAGCTGGTAAGAATACAATTGATTGAGTTATTCTGTTAATACTTCTTCCTGGACTTGGTAATCCATGGACTTCAGCATAATTTTCAAGGAAGTTTTTTACTACTTCAGCAATATTTTTATCAATTACCATTTTGGTTTTTCATTGAGGCATCTTCTTTATATTGCCATGAACTCTTGATATAAGTCCATTGTTTATCAGATGATTTCTGACATTTTCAAAATAAGTCCTACCAATTCCTAACATATTGAGATAAGTTTCTTGACAAAGGGGTGTATTGTGATCCCAATGATAGAAAGTTCTTTTACTAGATCTAATTTTCTTCTTAAGGCGTCTGCTAGTGCTTATTAATCCCCCATCCATTGCCTTAAGTTGAGCCATTAAAATATGTCTTGCTCAGACTTGGAAAGAGCTTGAAAGGCCTCATGTAATTCGACAAAATTATTTTTGGGAGCCATTGGTGAACAATCACAATTGCCTCTAAAAAATCAATTGCTTTTTGACATTCATTAAAGTCATTATATTTATTGCTTTAATACACCTAATAACCCTATATTCCTGTAATCCAACAGTCTACACTTGTCTTTCGATACAATTTTTTAAACTACCATCATATTTGAAATTGGTATGTCCTGGAATCATAAAATTTAATTCAACACTTTCACAATAATACAAATTAACCAAATATAAATAAAATCAAATAGTTGTACCATTTTTACTTTATCCACAAGTAATCTTCAGATGTTTCTCTCCTTTTAATTCCATCACCCAATGTGCCATCGGAACCTTTCCCAATAAGTTCATTTTCACCAAGAGCACATAGCATCATACTTTAATAATAGTTCCAAATTGCTATCTTCTCTCAGGCCAGTAAGAAAGTCTCCGAGTTGATTTACAGCTCTTTCTGCTCGTAAGGATATAAGTGATCGAGTTAATTGATTTACTGCATAATTCAAGAGAAATTTCTTTGCTGCAGTAGCAAAATTTTTATCAATTGCCATTTTTGTTTTTCATCGAAGCATTAAACCCAACGAATTCCCAACATATTAAGGTATATTTTTTGACAAAGAGATGTATTGTAATTCCAGCAATAAAAGGTTCTCTTATTGACATGAGTTTTCTTTTTGAGGTGCTGACACTTATTGATCCCACCATCCATTTCTATGAGCTAGACCACCAAAAATATGTCTTGTCCTGGTTTGGAAGAGCTTGAACACAATTCAGCAAACTCTCTTTGCCTTAAAGACATTTTTTATTTATTTATTATTAAAAAGAAATCAAAAAAATTTGATCAAGTAATTCTGAATTACACAATTTCATGACCATTATTATTATTATTATTATTATTATTATTAAAAATATATAAACTATCAAATATCTACAAAAAATCTAATTATATTCATATTTTTTAATAGTGAATAATAGGCTTAATAGCATATGTTGGTGTAAAAAGATATCTAGTAGTTGCATTATTTTTATCTGTACCATTTGTTGTTGGAATTGATGATGTTGATGTCATTTGAACATCCTCTTTATCTGGGAGAAAGAAATTTGAGAAAAGAGTGAGAAAATTGGAAAGAATTCAAGAAATTATAAAGAATTTAAATAACAATAATACCTATTATTACTAGTGAATGATCATTTTTGTCATCTTCATTTCTATTTTTTCTATTTATAGCTTGTTCATTTAATAATGTTTTCAATTGATTGAATTCTGTTATTGTCATTGTATTATTATTATTATTTATATTTATACTATTTATATTTGCTTCAAGAATAAAATTATCTAAAAGAATATGACAGATTTCTAAATAATAAATAAATAAACCTTAATAAAATATATAATGTGGCAATTATTTCTTAAGAGTAAATAAATCATCAAACATTAATTTTCTTTCAATTCAACCCATTGATTAGTTAATTAATTACCTTCAATATCTTCAATTCTACATAAAAATAATTCATACCATTCGTATTCACAAGTTGTATCATTACTATTTATAGAAGAAGGAGTTGGTGGAAAATCGTTTAGTTGTAATAATTTAATTGCTAAATAAATTGATGCAACTGCCAAAGTATGCGGAGGAAATCTAAGACATACAGTTGTTTTATAACTGAATGAATGAAAATAAATATATGTATATGTATGTGTGTATTAGTGTTGGTCGCCAAAACTATTTTGAAGAGGCGAAAGTCAAAACTAAGATTAAAAAGTTATATGTCAAAATTAAATCAAAAGTCAAAAAAATCAAAATCAGTTTCAACTTATGCGAAACCTTTTTGACTTTCGCACAGTTGCGAAACTCTATAGTTTTGGAAACCAACATTAATGTGTATATATATAAAATAGATGTAAATTTCGTAAATAAAGTATACCATTCATTAACTATTTGATAAGATTTAAATGCCAAAGATTTATCACCGCCTAATTTCTTTACAAATTTCATTAAAAATTTATGTGGATGGAGAAATTTAAATTCATAACAAGTTATTTCTAATATTGTTTGTTCTAATGTAAGTACTCTTCTTTTCTGTTCTTCTAAAATCTAATTAATCAATTAATTAATTTTTTATTAAAAAATTTTCTTATAAAAAAAGTACAATTTTTACATTTCATATTTTCAATGTAAAATAATAATACCTGACTTTCAGTATTAATTTCAGGTCCTTCTGGACATAGAACATAGTAAGCTACTATAAGAATATCTTTCAATTTTTTGTATGTTTCTTCTATTTTTGTCGCTACAAATAAACACGTTATACTAACATCCTATTAATATTATTATTTTACATTAATAATAAATAAATTAATTAATAAAATATATAAAAAAATTGGTAAATAATCATGTTTTATTATTATTGTAATTACAGCTGTTATATTGTTTGAAGATGTAGCCTTTTCAATTGAATTTTCTGTATAATAACGATGATAAAGTAATTGTGCTGTACATATTGTATACTGTGGACTATATATATATATACATGCATATATTAATTAGTAAACAATGAATTTTTAAAGGAAAAAATTGAACAGTATTCATTAAAAAAAACAACTTACAAACCAAGTTTATTAGCTACTGCTGTAATAAATTTACACCATTGAAGTCTAATTTTATTTTCTTCCATTTTATTTTATTAATTTTTTTTGATCTGAATAATACAAAATGATCAACGTCGTTTTATGCAGATCTGCTCGAGCTTTATTTATACTAATACATACTGTATACAGTAATTTTCAATTATAAAATTGTTTATTTATTAACAAAACCTGGGCAATTGTTGAAATAAAGAATGTCTAGAACTCAGAGTTCTTCCGATGTAAACTCTAAAAGTTTCTTTACTTTGTCAATTGTTACATTTATTTCTCCATTAGTTGTTAAAAATATAATCTAAAGGAGTTATTAAACAGCTCATTTATCAGAATAATGCTATTTCATTTGATCTTAAATAAAACATCTTAATAATATTATGTAATTATATTCCTATAATTGTTTGCCATATATTAAGTATCCAAAATAATTATGAATATCCAAATAATTATGAGTACCCAAAAATAATTACAAGTGTCCAAAAAAAATAATTACGAATATCCAAAATAATTACAAAATAAATTATATAAGTATATTCAAATAAATATCCTTGGATAAATTGATTTTTGAATATTGTAAAAAATTTGATTTTTGGTTAGGAACACTGCTGCAGAATGAAGTGTAATTGCATATAATTTTAATGTAAATTCCACCATGTATATGATGAAATGTATATTGTTTAAATGAGAGCATGGAGCAGAACTTGTTGTGCCTCTTTAGGTATTTATGCTATAGAAAATTGATGATAAATATTAATGATTGGTATCTTTTTTGCTTTTCATATAATCATTATTAATATTAAGTATAATTATAAGATGTCAAGGCAGCATGACTGTTACAGACAATATATGGGGCATGCTCCAACAAAACCAGACAAAGTGAACATTGGTATTAGTATTACCATGAATTTCAGGGTTTAAACATGT